CGTATCTACAGGCTCAACTCTGGGAGTTTCTTCCTCGAGTGCGGCCTGTGAGATGGTGTTGATGCGCATGTCTCTGGCTTCCATCCGCTTTGTCATCTTCATATAACAGGATCTGGCTATCTTCTGGCTACCTCTGCAATAGCCGACCCCGGTCTCAGTTGGGAATTTCATATAGAGGTGCCGCATGGAGATCACCGCTTCCAAATCCTCGAGTGCTGGCCTTCCCAGTATGACATTGTGAGCGCACTCGAGTCGCACCACCACGAACTCCACAGGGATCCTGGAGTGGTGAGATCCATCTCTGAACTTAAGGGAGAGCTCAATAGTGTCCTCGGCGTCTATGGAGTCACCGGTAAATCCGGAGAGGGGAGTTCGGATGGGCCTCAGAGAGTTGAGATGGAGGTTTAGCTCGTGGAACGTCTGTATGTACATGATGTTAACAGAGGATCCAGTATCAATGTAGGCGCGATGGATGATTACTGCGTCCACCTCACATTTCACCACCAGAGCATCCCTGTGGGGGGAGGGAAGTCTGGCAGATCACGGTCGGTGAACGAGATAACATTTGACCTCGCTCTCTTGGCAGCAGGTGGAGGGTTTGTAATCTCCCCCACGTAGAGCTTATTATTCCACTTCTTCCTTTACGCGGTTGTATCTCTGCCCGTGTTTCCTCCAATGATCATTCTGACCTCATGTCGGCGCCGCTGACTACGCCTGTTATTCTCGGCCGAATCATCATCAGAGATCAATCCAATGTCCTTCTTTCGGGGGGAACGATCAGAATCTCGCTCCTCATCTCGGGATCTGCGCTCATGACCACGTTTCTGGTCGGATTCTGGCTTCCGGACAAAACGTGTCAGATAGCCACGGCTGATCAGTTTTTCAATCTCCAGCTTCAGGGTGTGACATTCATCAGTAGCATGGCCATAGAACCTATGGAATTTGCAATAGGGGCCTGACTTATCCCGCTGTTGGATCTCATTGATTCGTGGGTCCCGAACCACCATCCCTTCCTGATCTGCTGCCTCCAGAATATGGCTGACAGAATGGGTCAATGGTGTCAGGACCTCAGGCGCTAGGAGCTTGGGACCTGTCCAGGGGCTCCTGCCTTTGAAGTGGCCCCTGTTCCGGTCCTTATTACTGTCATCGCGAGGCTTGTCCTCCCGCGGCAGCTTTGGCTTTTCCGGCTGCTTTTGTTCCTGCTTCTGGGGTTTGGCAACACTTTCCTGCGCCCTCTTGCAGCTGTGCACCTCCTCCGCTAGGGCATAGTTCTGCCCACGGTGAAGTGCCCGCTGATAGTCTCGTGGGGGGTCAATGATAAGGCTCTTTGAGAAGTCACCAATCCACATGACCTCTTGGAGCATAGCCAGGCGGGTGTTGTCATCAGCTCCATAGACCTTGGAGGTCTCTTCATTCCATCGCTCCAGAAACTTGCCCAAAGGCTCGTCTCCGCCCTGCTTGACGGACAGCAGGTAGGAGAAGTGCTTCTTCGTCTTTGCCCTTGCGGCAAAATGAGTGAGGAAGCGGGTAGCTAACTCCCTCCATGAGTCAATGCATTCATCAGGGAGATCGTTGAACCAGTCATATGCCTCCCCCTCTAAAGTGGAGGGAAACATACGTCAAATGTACTCATCGCTAGCGCCCAGCATATACATGCCGAACTGGTAGCGGGTATAGTGCTCCTGGGGTCAGTTTTACCCTCACAGAGCTGAATGTTAGGTCCCTTATACTTTGAGGGTATATGGGCCTGCATGATCCGTGTGGTAAAGGGGGTAGCAGTCCTTACCCTTACTGTTACAGGCTCCTGGTTGACCTGAGCTTGGAGCTGCTGGACCTGGAGCGCTAACGCTTTCAGCTGAGCATCACGCGCTGTGTGCTGGGGAGGCGGTGGCGGTGGTGGTACCGCTTTAGCGGCTGCAGCCCATAGCTCATTGACCTGTTGGGTTAGGAGGCGGACCTTCTCTTCCCTTGGGTCCACCTAGCGCTGACGCCGTGGTGGAGATTCCACCTGCCGCCTTGGCGGTGATAGCCTTGGCTGGCGCAGGGGCTGTTGTTGCTGTTGTCGCAATGGTGAAGCGCGTTGTTGCCTTGGGGGAGAAGGCATCTGCTGGTGGCGTGGGGGGCGAATCTGGGGGAATGATTGCCCCCTAGCCTCTCCAAAGCGGGTACGCGCTCTGGAGTCCTTCTCCCAGGTTGTTGCTGCTGCTGGTGCCGGGGGATGTCGAGGAATGGGGAGTTTTCCCTGTTAATCCCCCGGATGTTGACAGACAGGCGCTGATTCGCCATGGCTCTGTCCCCCAATCTGGAGAAGATGGGGCGCCTTCCCACCTCAATCCATGGATTGGGGTTGTCATCTTGTTGCAGGGAGGGGGACCGCGAGGAGTCCTCAGTGGTGACGGCATAGACATCTTCATCATTAGTACAACCGTATTCAACACGGTGTGCAATGTACTTGGATGGCAATGCGGGAGGCGGCGGAGGTGCCATCCTCTATGTCGCCGCAGTGGGATGAGAAGTCCCTGCTTGTTGTGCGAGAGGCACAGCGTTCACAGGTGCTGTGGAAGCCACCTGGCGGATAGGGGGAGAGTTGATCCCTGGAGTCGCCCTCTGGCGAGGGGGTGATTGATAGACCATCTGTGCCGGTCTCTCCACCACCAAAGGAGCATCAATAGAGCCTACTCTCAGAGAGCGAGATCTGGAATTCGCCGGAGAGATAGGTCGAGTGGTCTGAGGAGCCACAATAGCCGCGGGCTGAGATTGCAGCGTTGGGAGTTCCTGCTGCAGTCCAGTGATGAGGGCGCCAACCGCCGCAGAGGGATCCACCATCAGAAGGTTCTGGAATTGTGGGATCACCTATGCGGACGACATTGTCGCTGCATCACGATTGAAAGAGATCTGTTGGCGCGGATCTGGAGAAGTACGCTGGATCTGACTGCGCAGATCAACATAAGTTCCAGCGACTTGTTTTCCCTTGGCGGCCCTCCTAGCGCCGGAAGTAGCAGTACCTTCCAGCGAGGGCTCAACCTGTGCGACGGCGGCAGCAACACGTCGACTTCTGAGGATTCTCTTTCCCTCCATTGTTGCAGAGAAATTTGATGTAGATCTGAAGAAATTTGGGAGGATCTGACTTGTTCACAGTTCAACTCTCAATGAAAGCACCAAAAAATGATGGATCGTCGGACCAGGGGTGGCCGGAATCCACCGAGAATAAGAGAGGAAAGGGAGAGAGTGAACTGGTTTGCAAGTCTCACAGTATGAAATTCAGAGTGCGATTAATTAGAACTTAAGCATCAAAAAATCAACCCCTTTCCACAAGTTGGAAGGTGATATTTATACTAAGGAGAAAGGGAAATACTTGGGGCCCAAGTAAAAAGATATTAGTCTAATAAGAGAGGGGCACGTGTAAAGCTATTCTAACAAACTACCAGACTAAATGGACCGGGAGCAGCCACGTGGAAAGCTGATTGGAGAGAGAGCTTCTGATAGCTGGCTGATTGATTATTCCTCTAACAGAATTCCTGCCAAAGATTTCGTGTAGCCGTGTGCAGATAATTCGGTATACTCCGTCAGTGCGGAGTGGCGACGTTTCCTCATGAATCGAGCCCTTGTGGATTTCGCCTAAGTACGGGGTGCTTTTCTCCGAACCTCGAAGGTTACTGAGGTTGATATCTGGGAGCTCGGGTCTATGTTGAGAGGTCTCGTCTTGCTGTCCTCTGTTCTTGCTTTGGAGGTGGTTTGACTGCCTGGCGCTCTGACTGACGTTGACCTGGCGTAAGACTTCTAAGGTCAGACCTGGTGCCGACCTCGAATGTCTCGAGGTCGGGCTCATGAATCGTCGAGTTTAGTTGACTCCTGAGCTCGATGTTTTCCCGACCTCGGGATCGGGGTCAGGGTCGGTTGACTCCGTTATCTGCTGAGCTTACTTGATTCCTGAGCTTGACGTTTCCCGACCTCGGCGGTCGGGGTCGGATCCAGATGTGGACTTAGTATTTTCTTGCCTCTGATGAACCCGCAAGGCTCTCTACCGGCGTTCGCGGTACCCCTGGGGTATACGGGAATATACTCCATCACTAGGGGATGTCTACACGTTTAAAGGTGTAGAAAAATGATATAAAGTGTTGGTATTTAACTTAGAAGAGTTGTGGAATCGTTAGGAATCGAAATCGCCGGAAACCGCCATTGCTAGGAGCTGTTTTCGTGCTGCAGGGCCCGAAAGCCGGGCAGCTTTTGCAAAAGACGGGTGGCTTTTGCCCTCTGCCAGCCAAGTCTATCTCGGATCATCCCCGATCGAAGGTTTAACGATGGGGCTTCAATAGGAAGGCTTGCTGGACATATTTGAGGTGAGGATGACTGACTATATTGCTTCTAATTAGTGGGTTAATTTCATAAGATTACCTAAAGTAATAAAATGTGATTTTCATGGATTATTAATGATTAATAATGCCTAAATGAAAATGCTATTGTTTATGAGTAGAGGAAGCATGATATACAAATTTGGAAGAAATTGTGCATGATTATGTGATATGAAAGAGATGGCATGAAAAAGGAATTAACTATGAAAATATTGTGATAAAATATACTTTTACTTCATGTATAGAATTCATGAATGGATAAAGGTGGGTGATATTTTAGATATTGAGATTAAATTGTATTTGGACTGGGGAATCAATTGAAATGAAATGTTGATTATGAATTAGGAACTTGATTGTTCTAAGATTATCCGACTAGTATTGAAATACTAGTCGGGAGATTAATATAAGTAAATGATGGAAATAATCCTAAGAGATAGGATTGTGAATAGAGATGGCTTAAGTAGTCTTAAGAGATACTTAAAGGTCGAAATGTACAAGCTCTAAGATATGTTAGGAGTAGGCCTTAAAGGCTACTCAAGGTAAATTGATTCTAGGCATAACATTGGCTTAGGAATCGAATAGATTGACTAAGAGTGGGGCTCTAGCCTAATGTAGATGACTAAGAGCGAGGCTCTAGCACAAATGTAGATTGACTAAGAGCGGGGCTCTAGCCTAATGTGGATTACTAAGAGCGGGGCTCTAACATAAATGTAGATTGACTAAGAGCGAGGCTCTAGCCAAATGTAGATGACTAAGAGCGAGGCTCTAGCAAGAGCGGGACTCTAGCCAAATGTATATTGACTAAGAGCGGGGCTCTAGCCTAATGTGGATGACTAAGAGCGAGACTCTAGCATAAATGTAGATTGACTAAGAGCGAGGCTCTAGCCAAATGTAGATGACTAAGAACAAGGCTCTAGCATAAATTTAGATTGACTAAGAGCGGGGCTCTAGCCTAATGTAGATGACTAAGAGCGAGGCTCTAGCATAAATGTAGACTGACTAAGAGCGAGGCTCTAGCCTAACGTAGAACGACTAAGAGCGGGGCTCTAGCACGACATAGATTGACTAAGAGTGAGGCTCTAGCATGGTATAATAATAGGATTGAGCGAGGCTCCATGATGGCTAAATAATGTAATTAAGAGACACCTCATGACGGTAGTACAACTTACCAAAGGTTATGAAAATCATGACAAATAGTTACGGAGAAATAGGGGTGGACGTTTCAAAACGAATATGGGCCACAGGCCGACTACTTGACTTTATATATAAAGTAAGTATATTTTTGAAAGAGGGTAACCGGGGGTTATGGCCTATAAAAATAGTATCACCCTATATTGAGGGTCTTAAGAAATTGAAACATTGATTATACTTAGTATAGTTGTCATTGTACTTGTCAAATGCTTCCAAGTACTGACCTCCCCTTCACGGGGGAGGCCACCTCACAGTTTCAGGTAGAAGTTGAGCTTGCTACCAGTGCCCGTTGCATCGGGAAGATCTAGGAGAGAAGACGTGGTTCGTGCTTCCTCCGTTTCTATTTCAAAAAACAATTATAATAATGCTCATGGATATTATTTTCTGAATAATTATTTGGGGGCTTGTATGCCTAATGATGCCAAGTGTGGCTTGAACACTTGTATTAATGTTTCCGCTGCTTTAAATGAATATTTTACATTATGTTTGTTTATGGATGTACTACGTGTGAATGATATTCCAGACGCCTTGTATAGTATGGATAAGTTGGACTACGGTTGACTATTCGTACTGTACGGCGGGTTGTCGACGTGTCCGGTAGGTTCGGGGCGTGACAATTTAATTGGTATCAGAGCCTTAGTCCGTAAACACCATAATGAAGCTTCAAAATTCTTTTTGAAAACGAATTTGAAAACCATGAGCATAAGAAGTTTTGTACTTATAAAACTTTTGGTACTTGAGTTGCAATGTCTCTAATTGTTAAGATGGTACCCTTAACAATCGGTATGGCGGTGATTTGAGCCAAGGGTGTCTTTAAGTGCCTATCTGTCAATTGACATTTGGTACGAGTCTAATGACTCATTCTCAATTGCTTTCAGAAATGGAACGTACCGGAAAGACAACTAAGAGGAACCCGACTGGCCGGGCACAGGGAGGGTCCGATCATGGCAGTAAGGGGACTTCTAGTGTGTCCAGGGGACGGGGCCGTGCAGGCCACTCACTGACCGTAAGTGACGGTCATGATGAAACAGTGGATGAGCATTTTGAGTCCGAGGAGGATTCAACTTACCAACCGGGGACTGAACCGGTTGAAACCTCATATGATGGGGAAGACGATGACGTTAGTGAAGAGAGTGATGATAATGACGCTCTAGAGAGGATAGAGGAATTGCTCCGGCAATACCAACAAGATCGCCAAAGGCGTCGGGCAAGGCGTGCTTTGGGAGGGGCTTCGAGGAGAAGAAGCCATGTTAGTCCTAGGAGACATGTAGAGTCCCGAGGAGATAGAGGTGTCGAGGTTCCAATTATAAGAATCTCGAAGTACCTCAAGAAGTCCTGGACTCCGTCTAATACATTCAAGAGGAGAGGGTCCGGGGAAGAGCGTCTCTTGCCCGATCCAGTCGGGAGGGGGAGCGCCTTGCCGGCAGATTATGTTCAGAGGGGCAGACACCCACCCATGCAGTAGGATTGCTCGGAGATTCAGGCCCAAGGAAGCCAAAGGAAGAGTGCGAGCAAGAATATACTTTCTCGAGCAAATTCGCACGCTCACTACTCAAGAAGCTGGGGTACTTGTGTTGAGGTATATTACCCCGGCCTGTTACTGTTCAGGAGCCCAATACCTTACCCCAGTACGGAGCCCAACCGTCGAGGGCCGTTTCAGCCTATCAGGCCTGGTTTGGCCTTTTGGGCCCATTTTGGTCCTACCGGCCAATTAGGATAGAAATGCTCCCCTCCCCCCTTTTTTTGCCTATAAATAGGAGGATTTCCCTCCTTATTAAGGATCCCTCTTTCTTCCCCCTTCTCTCTAGCTAGTTTTATACTCCATTAATGGGAGTTTGTGCAATGTAAGGATAAGGAGAGCATTAATAAAATGAGAGGGCTTGGACATTAGTCTAAACAGTTCCGTGGTTTTCTCCCTTTCCGGATTTCCACGTAAAAATAGCTTGTTCATACATATTTATATCTACATTTATTATATCGCGTTGGATTAAACTCAACACTTCTCATGGAAGTTTAGCAGTAAATTTAACATAAGTTATAAAAACGAGATTAATAAAAAACTGTGCAAAGAGAAATTCCACAAAGTATGTAAAAAGTAACGTATTATTCAGACTACATGTCATTGAGATGGAAAGAGCGACATTCTTTGTTAACCAACCTCAAGCTAAAACGCGCACTAATGCACCAGAACTTTCTTGAATTGATTTAACTGTGGACCCTTGCTTCCCTATCAAAAGCGCAGCAGCAACCAATAATTTAATAGAGCAGAATGCAGCTATGAAAGCAGTTAAATAAATCTGCAGAAGACAATCTCAGAATGCGTTTGAAAACTGTTTTCCATCCATTGCAAGGGATATGGGCACATCTGGATCTTCTCTTCCACTAATTAGAAGTTAGAACCTAAAGTATATTAACAAACATGTTAAAGTTTTTTTTGGATAAACTAGCTAATACCATTAGTCAACAGATAGCCATAGAAAATTTAAAAGATCAGTTAACTGGTGTAAAAGAGTGTTAAATAAATAGGACAAATAGAAAAAATAAGCTGGGGTTAAATAATACCACATGATCTTCCAACAACCTATTGAATCCAATAACTTATGAAGGTCGCGTGTGTATAGTTTTACAAAAAAAACGGTCTCTTAACATCATCTCACTCCCGACATCGAGCACTTTTATATACTCCCTCCGTCTCGCTATGATTATCCCATTTTACCTTATCAGCCCGTCCACTAAGATTGTCTCATACCAAATTTGATAAAGTTTGTGTGACTATAAATCATTTTTACTTTATTTTTACTTTATCAATTCAATATCAACCACATAAACCACTTTTTATTAATTTGTGTGTCACTCCCTCTTGTCCCATTGTTAGCGGGACAGAGGGAGTAGTGTTTTATTATTTTATAGCTTTCCGGTGTGGGACAAATACTTCAACACGCCTCCTCAGTTCGAACCGGGCTGGACAATATTGGGGTGTATAAATAGGCCAAACACATCCTTAACAAGTTACCAGTAATCATGAGTGCTAAACAAACAGTCAAACCATAACCGGAATTGGCTCTGATACCATGCTAAGACTCGGAGTTCCATCTTAAAAGGTCAACTTGATAGGAGGAGTAACTCAAAGTCTTATATAGTGTTATTATTTTATAGTTTTCCGGTGTGGGACAAATACTTCAACAAATTAAAAAAATAAAATAACAAACTTTGAAACACCTTAACAAAGTTTGAATAACTACTTTGACATAATAATGACTGGAGTAAATCTTAAACTTGGTAATTCATATAAGTACATACTAATAAAGTACGAGACTTAATTAACTTTTTATACATATATAGTATAATGACCAATTTGACATTTTTCTCTTTCATAAAAAATATAGTGGGTGTTGCTAGGCACACCGCTGTTATTAGTAATTAACTAGTATTTTACACGCGCGTTGCGCGATTGAGTAAATGCCCTATAACATATACGGAGTATGTGAATACATTTTTCTAATCTTTGGTAGGGGATGAGAGTGAAGTATTCAAATACGGAGTATCATATAATGAGAAAAAATCACTATATAGTGAGAGACAAAATTTGCTTGAAAGTCAAACTTTGAGGTAGCAAACATTTCTCATCCCAAAAAGATTCAAGTAGGCGAAGTTAATATCACACAATCAAGGCCAGGGGCGGATCCAGAGCACTGGACCAGACAAGATCGGTACAAAGAATATTTTTGAGAAAAAGTACATGAATATGTTTACCCTAACAATTAAGGCATTTTTTAAATTTGGGGTGGACGAGGGCTTAGGTTGACCCTCCCATAGCTTCACCCTGGCCACTCCGAATGTAGCTCCTAGTGTCAAGACCGCGAGATTGCCAATTCAAAGTGTCATTTAAAATTTAAAATTTGAAGTAGCCAAAATTGTAAACGGGTGGAAAATGAAGAGCGGGTCACTTAACTTTCAAAAAATGAAAAAACAAAAAGCATGGAAAATAAATTAAATGACATACATGTGCAAATTGTAGGGATGGGAAGTCACTAGGATATCCTTGACTTGCGATTGGATGGGAGTACTAAAGATTAACCTTGACTTGCACTTTCGCCTTCAAAACTTCAGAGTAAGTTAGACTTCATCTGGTTTCGAAGTGTGGTTGTGGAATGCCTCCACTCACGACTTACTATTCTGGGGACCGAAAGGATATCCAAAACTTCTCTCATCAAGGTATTTATTTAAGTTTATCAGTTGTTTTTGTACTTCCAATCTATATGGTTGATTTGTTTGAAAAAACTGTAAGAAACAATGCACAAAGGCTATGAATATAATTTCCCAAAACAACTACACGGGTAGGGATGACTTTGTACTTGATTTTAGTGGGCAAGTTTTGATTTTAATGCAAAGTAGAGATCTTTCTTTTTTTCACATTTTTCATTGGATATACATTGTTTTGTTGGAATAATAGAGTTATTCACTTCTTAGTTTCTATAGGCTACTTGAAGTAAGTGATAATCAAGTCATTTCTGCCAAATTGGTTTCAGATAAGTTCTTATAACCAACAACAACAACCTTTTTTCTTTGTTCTGTTGGTTCTTTAGAGGTGCATTTCTTCTTATTCTCATTTTTTGGGTACTTTTGATATTATAACTATGCGCACCCTTGAATATATAATCATCTCCATAAGTAAATTTTTGTAGGACATCTAAAAAGTAGAAAATTTGTTTTTGCTTTATATTTTATAGAATCACAACTATATAGTAGACGGTCGATGTGTTTATGTACTATCAGTAAATAGTATACCCCTTCGAAAAGTAGCCATATACTACGTATTTAAAACAATGATTTGCTGATGTCCATAACACTGAATCATTAACATATGTTAATTTCTTGCTTCGAAAAGGGCGCTATCTGGTAGTCCAAAACACTCCATGACATCATCAATATGTGTGGCACATTATCCAATTCCCTTTAGCGCTGCATTTTGTAAATAAATAAAAAGATCACACCCCATCCCTGAGGACCCCCCAACACCGGCCGAACGATACATTGGGAGGATGAAAATTGGACTATAATCACAATCTGACAGTTAGAGAGTGAGGCTCTATTCTCGGTACTTGAAGAAGCCCTATGCATTTTTTAGCATAGTAACCTCTCATCGCAGTTGCCGTGATTCGAACTCATGACCTAACCCTTGTGTCACTTCCTCACTACCGGTTAGGCTACGCCCACCGGTTTTAGCACTGCATTTTGTGTCTACCCTAAGATCAACACTAAAGCCAGCTTAAAATTGAAGGGTTGACCCAAGCATTATGAACTGCTTCACTCTTTCGTAGTTTCATTTCTGTGTTCAACCGTTTGGCATGTCATATACATTTTACATATGTTTGAATCACATAAATTGTTTGGGAATGACAAAAAATGCTATAAAGAGCTATTTTCTTTGATTTGTTTTTCTTTTTGTCTTTAAACTCTTTATATAACAGATATAGATTAATAAAATGACTTTTAACCAATGTCTTTACATTACTATTCTTTTCTTTTGCAGATGATCTGTCAAATTGGTGAGCCATGGAGCCAAATGTTCTTACCAAGGCCAATAACCCACTATTTCCCTCTTGTATTATATGCACTGTCTGAAAGTGGTTCGACTCAAATATGGGTTTTCCACTCCATTCACACCACCCATTTCAAATGGGTAAGAGATTAAATAAGTGTAGCTATGCAGCTGGGTTTAATGACTTCAGGGGGAAAAGTGGTCCTCCAACCAATTCCTTTTGTTTAAATTCCTTGGGACTTTTCATACAAAAAAAAATAAGATTCAAAAATCTATATTACTGAAGCGCTACCATATGCAACTCCACTGATCTGGAATTCTGGATCTGAATGCAACTACAATAATAATTCCTCTTATGAACTATGGTTACATATGATACATTACAAAAACACAATATTATTACCTTGTAATAAGCAGTTTAGGATAGTAAACCCTAAAATTGCAAAATATATAACCCAGTAATACTTTACACATCGGAGCGATCAAATTTTGCACAACAAAATAACTAAATAATGTCCCAACTACTTTATGGGTCAGGCTGCATCACTACCAAGTCTATAATGAAGGAAAAGAATGACCCATGACCTGAGAGAGGCTAAACTGCTCAACATGCCATAAAAGACAACATTTCTTCACCTGGCCAAGTTCTAGACAAAATTGTGAAGTTGGGACTATTAAACTATACGTAACAGCTGCATATGTATCTTGGGAAATCATTAGACAATGCAGAAGAATAACTAACTTTTCTTCTTTTTGAGACTGAGAGACTGAGATTTCAAAGCAACATTCATGTTCTTTTTCTTGATGTTCTTCTTACCACTGCAACTAGCTCCATCTTCATCACTGTCACCATCACCAAATGTCTTTCGCATCTTCTTATCAGCATGCCCCATAACTAAAATCGTCTTCTGCTCATCCCTTTCCTCAGATTCCCCCACTGGCCTCCAAATAAAAAGTGACCTGAAATTCTCACAAAACACTCATTTCAAGAACACCAATCACTACACTACATGCAACATGAACTATAAATTGAAAAATGAAGAGATTTTATATACTAAGTACACAATTCAGTAGTTGAGTTCGAACACAAACTGACTATAAGAAGAGCAATAAATGGTTAGACAAAAAAGACAATCACAGTACCAGGAATGATAATCTGCAAGCAAAGAACTAATTTTTGAATAGTTTCATCTTTGAGAACATTCCCCGAGTTTGTTTATAAAAAAACTCTCAAGTA